GGGAGACAAATGAAAAGAACTGGGAGACAAATGAAAGCAAGTTGCAAACAAGCCAGCCGGGAACCCGACCGCAAGCACCCAGCCTGAGAGACAAATGAAAGGAATTGGAAGACAAATGAGAAAAAGTGGCGGACACATGAAAGGAAGTGGGAGACAAGCCAGCCAGGAACCCGACCACAAGCAACCAGCCTGGGAGACAAATGAAAAGAACTGGGAGACAAATGAAAGGAAGTGGGCGACAAGCCAGCCGGGAACCCCCCAGCCTGGGAGATAAATGAAAAGAATTGGGAGACAAATGAAAGGAAGTGGGAGACAAGCCAGCCTGGAACCCGACCACAAGCACCCACCCTGGGAGACAAATGAAAAGAACTGGGAAACAAATGAAAGGAAGTGGGAGACAAGCCAGCCGGGAACCCGACCACAAGCACCCACCCTGGGAGACAAATGAAAAGAACTGGGAGACAAATGAAAGGAGTGGGAGACAAGCCAGCCAGGAACCCGACCACAAGCACCCAGCCTGGGAGACAAATGAAAAGCACTGGGAGACAAATGAAAAGATGTGGGAGACAAATGAAAGCAAGTGGGAGACAAGCCAGCCGGGAAACCCGACCACAAGCAACAGCCTGGGAGACAAATGAAAAGAAATGGGAGACAAATGAAAAGAACTGGGAGACAAATGAAAGCAAGTTGGAGACAAGCCAGCCGGGAACCCGACCAGACCATCCAGCACCAAGGCGACCATTCTGTAAAGCATTGAGAACCCCTAACAGTAAACTGTTTGGGGAAAAAGAAGGATTGATTACGTCTCATTCCTGGATTGCTTAGTCAAAGGTTTGCGTGGACAGTCCATTTATGTAACACCCGTGGAAAGTCTCCTCAGGCACGTCCAATGCAGGTGGCACCTCCGAGCGGATGGATGGATTTATTGAGTTGAAGCTGCTTGATATCCTCCAACCTAATAGCAAAAGGATCCTATATAATAGCAATGGCCTCCAACCTAATAGCGATGACCTCCAACCTAATAGCAATGGCCTCCAACCTAATAGCGATGACCTCCAACCGAATAGCAATGGCCTCCACCATAATAGCAATGGCCTCCAACCTAATAGCGATGACCTCCAACCTAATAGCCATGGCCTCCAACCTAATAGCAATGGCCTCCAACTTCCAACCTAATAGCGATGGCCTCCAACCTAATGGCGATGGCCTCCAACCTAATAGGTTTGGTTGAAGCTGTTTGATCGGGAACATCGGGAGAAATGCGGGGATCTCATCGTGAGATTTCCATGTTGCCACCAAACGAGCGATACGAAAAAGCAGCGCCTGCGAAGTGACCATATGAACAACAGCAAAGTCTACTTGACCAAAATAGAAATTGTTAAGAACAAAAAATCTAGGAACCAAATCATTAGTACGAGCGCTTCTTCAAAGAAGCTCCCCCCATGAGCTATCCTGCATCCATATGTAGTAGCCTAAGTAGCTTAAGTACGCGTCTACTTAATTATGTATGAGCGGGTTAAACATGTCATATAGATCTAATACTCCGTCGATGTCCCCAAACCCACCTCGACCCTTCCTGGAGTGGCCAGCTGCTGGCTCCTTCAGTGGCTGTTCGCGAGCTAATGACTGCAAACTCCGAAACCTGGCAACTTGCCTCGGCAGTGTAGTGTAGGCACCCCGGTTGCATATAGTTCTTAAGAGCACTCCACCACAGCAGCGATGGCCTCCAACCCGGGTGCATATAGTTCTTAAGAGCAAAAGTATATGTGCCACTGTGCCACCTTGAGTGCAGAATTGTATGTCGAACGGTCCTTCCGCTTCGGGGCCGCACTTGCCTTGCCCATCTTCTGGCCTTGGCCAACAAAATTGGCTTCTGACACATGTAAACAGCAATGTGGCGTGATGTTGGGAGATTCACATTGATTGAAACTGCAATTACCTGAGTCATCCTGAGTCTATGTCAGACTCCAGAAACGTGGTCTTGGGTCTTGTCCGCTGTTCTTGAGCAGGTGACTTCACAAGAGCTATCTGATGTCATTGCATGGACTCGGGATGATCGATGGGGCATTTGCGACAACGACTTGAAGCACAGGTCGCTTTTACTATATGTATTCATTGTCTAGAGAACACTTGACTCACAGAAAAAGCAACGAAGCATGCCCTCAAGGTTCCCACTGGACTCGAGCTTATCACATCTTATCACCACCCCCATTGCGGAGCTTCTGTGTTGACTGTGCTTGTTGGGGCTTTGACGAGCAGCACCACAGCTGCCGGCATTGCAGGCGAACCTCGCAGGAAATGGGTACTCGATACTTGTATCTTCGAGTACGTCAATCAGTAGATCTCATGTCCACTGACCTACTTTCTTTGACGTCTGCGCCTTACATGCCATGTCAAACAAATTGAGGATGGGAGAACCATTGAATTTGAAGATATTTGAAGAGTGCCCCTGGAAGACCTCTACTAGCAGGATAGTTTCCACTATAATTGATATGTGTTGACCTTTGCCGCATTGCCAGAGGTACACCCTGTAAGTGCAAGAAAGAAAATATAAGAAAACTCTGCTACCGTATCAACTTGTTGTCCTCGGTTTAACTTCGGACAAGTTCGGAACCTCGAGCATCGCCCGAAGCTGAAGGTGAACCTGCGCAGGAGCTCTTGAAACGGTCACACACCCGGTAGGAAGAGCACTCAAGGGAGATTCAGGCGATGGCCTTCAACCTAATAGCGATGGCCTCTAACCTAGAAGCTATGGCCTACCTAATAGGCCTCCAACCTATAAATAGTGATGGCCTCCAACTAGTCATATAAAGAATCATGGGATGTTTGACCACTGGAAAGAAGGGTCTAATGCTCCTATAATCCGTGTGGACACGGAAAGCCGAAGTGCATTGCACTATGATCACTATGGGAGAAAGGCTTAAAGGGCCAGCCGTGCCTCTGTGGTCGGCTTGTCCCGCAGTGGCCCTGGCAAGAGATTTAAGGTTAATGTAGTGTTGGGGATAGATGGGGACACCTGAGGGTGCATCTCTGGAAGTGATGCACTAGGGAACCAAGGTGGCAGCAGAGAAGCAAGGCCCCACTCATCACCTATTAAACAACAAAACATGTATTGATGCGATGCTTTCGCTTCACACCTGTTCGATCATTTGTCGTGTTTCCGGCCAGAAGCTCCTTATTAAGATTATTAAGGTGGCAGGCAGGTGGCAGAAGCGTGCAAAAAATGGTTTGATAGTCAATACTTCAAAGCTCAAAAGCAAGCGTGCACCACAAATCCTGGCGACCAGCCTTCATTTCAACTTCAACCCCAAATCTACTGAGCCCTTGATGTGTTGATCCTGTTCTGCCAAATCAAGCGCAGCTATCGGTCAAGCGAGGCGTTGACCTCACCAACCTCCTCACACCCGCCAACCCCCTTCTACCCCTCAACCCTCCTCAATCTTGGTAATTTCTTTGGCCTGGGCAACGCTGGGCTAGGCGCAAGGCCATGACCTGCGAGGGGCTGTCTGCCGTGGCTGATAGCCGCTCAGAACAACGTCGGAGGTCCGGATAAACCTTTGAAAGTGCAATACCAGCAATACCCACCACTTGTCTTGCAGAGTTGCCTTCTAGCCTCTAGCCGAGGTAATTAACTCAGAACCATCATAATTCCAAGTTTGGCCGGTAATTGTGGTTAGTAAAAAAAGTTAGGCTATACCCTGCAAACTGGCCAGCATTGGCCAGCAAATATTTTGATGTATGATCAGGTGGCACAGCGTCCAGACCCGCTTGAAATTCACTTTGCTTCCATAACCGAAGCATTCATCCGCGCGAACACGATTTTGTTTTGCGAAGCGCCCCTGGGAAAGCTCTCAGGCGTTTTGCCGATCAGCACTTCCTTGTGACCTTGTGGCGTTCGTCATCTTCTCGTTCCTGAAGTCAGCAACCACCGACAACGATGCCCCGAGTGGTCAAGTTCTTTTGGGGTACGTACTTGTTCACTGCAATACTCATGGTGAGTGGGCTCTCATGCTAGGGCTTCTTGTTACCAGAAGTAAGGCCAGGAGCCACTAGTAGCTTCTTGCTCCTAGTAGCGATGCCCTTTGTTCCTAGTAGCTTCTTGTTACTAGTAATATGTGAAGCTTCCGGGCACATTCTCCAGAAAGTCCCCACCACAAAATAATCCACAAGCCAAGGTCTCCTCAGATGCAAACCACAGGAGTGATCTGGTAGGCACCTCTCTGATCCACGGCCTCACAGAACAAGGCAACAAACAACCAAACAACAAAAGCAAATTGCGTTTGATAGAGTGATATGCGCCGTGTACTCGTCCATGAGTGATTCTTCGAGGCACCATCCGCAACTCTTTGAAAGGCAGAAGAGGAAGTTGGGTAGGAGGGAGGAGTGCTCATCAGACTGGGGATTAACGCGATGCAGTGAGGCATGGAAGTACTGCCGTTTAGCTCTGCAATACAGGTCTCCATCATGATGAAGACGACCTGATTCCATTTGCTTATATACAAAAAAACCTCTGACCAGCATGAATGCTCCAGAGACAGCGTTTCGGGTGCGCAAGCTGACAGTGGGCTCCCCACTCTTGGTGGCATTGTAGAAGGCGCCAGCTGCTCAGCTCTCTTCCACCTATCACCTGGAAGGTGCTTCTAAGGTGTCACTAGACTGCTAGAGCAGCTGATAGTCCAAGCCATTTCCCACACTTAGACCTGCAAGTGACAATGAACTCTAACTGCAACGACTTGAAGGTAACTTTGACCTAGCAAAAACAAGTGAAACTTGATAAAACCAAATTTTGCCATCTCATCTTGCAGTGCTCTCTGTACACTGTACACTGCGAACTGAAAATGATCTCTAAAGCTAGCCAATGCAGCTATTCCAAGATGGCCACTTTCATGGAACATGAACTATCAAGCTGCCCCAAGCTTCTCCGGTCTGTTTGATGTTGGTGACCAGGGACTTTGTTTTCCAGTTCGTGCAGGTTCCTGGGCCCAAGTAGTTCCCATGGCTCACTTAGCTGAATGACTTAGAAGATTCGCCCTTCTGCCCAAGTGCGCCCAGCCAGTCATCTTCACCGCTTCCCACAGATTCAGCTGATCCATGATGTCTGTGCTCATGCTGAAGACGACCACTTCATCCACCAGAAAGACTGGACAAAACCCTCCATACTGCTTCATGGCCTCCAGCAAGTTTCCAAGCTTCTTCAGCCCCTATTTGTTCCAAAAAATGCTTCTGTTCGATTAAATGCGTCGGTTAGGAACTGAGCTAGGAACGTTAGATCTGCCGGTCAAAACAAAAGGTAACAAATGTTCGAGTGAAGAAACTGATCCAAATTGAAGATTGAAATTGAAAGTCGAAAAGCAGAATTCTTCCCGGCCTGGCCTGGTAAACAGCAACTGCCTTCGTTACTTCCCGTCTCCAAGACAGTGTCAGGGCCCGGATTGCCACCAACGCCTCAAACTTGTTTCCAAAACAAGTGAGAAACCCTGAGACTCATGACTCACGAGCTCAAACACACAATCGTGTGCCTTTCCGCATCCGGGCAGGGTGGTTGTGTGGGATTGTCGTTAAAGAACCGCTGAACTACTCAACTGCCTCTGAAGTCAGGTGTGGCTACTTGGGCAATCCTGCAGAATCCTTCCCTTGTGTTGCCTTGGATGATGGGTGTTCACGAAGCACTTCGACCGACACAAGTCTCTGTCTGAAGAATGAACGTTCTTCCTGTGTGTGTTTGTCCCCATGTGGCCCCTTGCCACCTCACCCGTCACTGCCTCATCCATCTTCACTCCAAGAGACCCACCTCTCTGGGCTCGGGCGCGCCCAGCGCTCAATTGCCCGGCATCCCTCCTGCGAGAGCATCGGCGCTTGGCTGGTCGCCAGCTCAGCTAGGTCGGGGCGCCTCGCATTGAATGCCACTTAAAAGCATCCAAGTGAGTCCAAGATCAGATGCGTTCCAAGAATGTTGTTCTTTGCGCTATCCAATAAAATAAAACCTTGCCCTTGTTCCCAAAGTAGGGAGACGGTGGTCAAAAGCTTTAAAAAAGCTGCGCGTTGCTGGAGGCTTGGTGACGGAGGAGGTTGAGTGGAATCCTATGCCTAAGGAGCCAGCATCCCAGATTTTCTGAAGACTGAGAAAACAGTTAACAAATTTGCTAAATCAACTGCTATGTTTGTCGGAGGAAGCATGCAGCGCCCGCTGCAGCCTATATTATACATACACATAGGCCATAGGTCTGGGTGGTAAAAGTCCGAAATATATAGCTTCCTTCATGGCAGTAGGTGTTGTAGTTTTCTTGCACCAAAGATGCCCCAGCAAAATGGCGAGGTCAATGAAAGACAAGCAAGGAGATGATCGCCCCTGGGCCGAAGGCTGAAGGTGAAAACCCCAAACCGGTCAAACCAGTCAAACCAGTGCCAGGGCACCGGAAACAAACATAAACTTGACAAAAGGTTTGATGAAAACCGAAGAAACTTTCACGATTCCAAGCTACACAAAGTGGATCTTCAATCAAGCAGCGCACACCGAAGTGATCCAAAGGAATATTGGCAGCTTGCGCGTGCTCTATGCGCTTGGCGCCGAGTGGGGTCAAGAAGAGACTTCCTGCAAAAGAAGGTACAGAAAGAAGTAGTTCATGCCTTTAGATCCTTCAGCCTTCACACATCTTCACACCAACTTTGTTTCTCTGTCCAAGAGTCCTAGGTTGTTCCGCCCTTCTGGCGCCCAACTGGTTCTGTGAGGCCGACCGGGCAGTGCACCGCAGAGTGTCAAAGCCTCCCGGAAAGGCATGGCTTCGCCCACGGAGAGCCATAGACCGTCGAAGGTGCCACCCACTGCCAGGGCCGCCGTGAGGATGTGTGGCGCACGGAGCTCGTAGCTCCAGCCGTAGAAGCTCACCTCATCGGTGAGAGGGAGCCACCTGCGAGCGTGAGGAGAGCAACATCCAGAGGTGTAAAGTCTATATGTTTGGATTGAATCTTTGAATATAAAGTTATACAGGCATGGAAGATAACAGAGTTTAGTTCTCACCTTCGCGTGGAGAATTCGAAGACATCGTGTGACCTCCAGCGGCGTAGAGGCCGAAGCTTTGACTGCTCTGCACAGCGCATGGCCACCGTTTGGTCCCCTGTGAGGATTGCAATATCGAGGAGGTGCACCAAGGCATCCTCAGAGATGGCAAATGGAGCAAAGGACGGTGCACCATCACCGGAGCGAAAAGCATCCAGTGTGGCCCGAAGCAAGGGTTTCTTGGCTGACTCGCGCGCTGCGTCTGCAGCATCCATGAGAGATGCATCCCAGTCTTTCATCCAAACTCCTTCATTCACAGGAAAGCCAAAGCAGCAAAGATCACACACCTGCCAAGCCTTGCATTGGCAGTCAAGTGACCATGATGTCCATCTCTCCACTGTCGAGGCCACGTTCCGTTTGAGGTGATATGCCTCTAGCCTACAGCCTCTCACACCCTTCTCGGCCATTGCCCATGCAGTGTCAAAAAGGCCAAAAGTTAAACAAAGCTCAAACAAATGCACAGGTCCCCACTGAGAATGCACCTGTTGGCCAAGAAGTTCCTGCTGTCCATCCAACAATGCAGCAGCCACCTGAAACTCCTTCACTCCAACAACAGTGTCCTTCACGTCGCTGTCGTAGCAGACCAAATCCCTAACTTCCATGATCTCGGCAAGAACCAACTACCCATCCGGTGCTTGAGGCTTAAAGCATCAGTTGAACTTGCTCTCAGAGCAATGAGTGAAACTTGCTCTCAGAGCAATGAGTGAAACACATTGTGAATCATTGTGTTTATACCCTCTGGAACAGACAAGATGTTAAGACTTTAAGACAAATTTGCAATCTTAGCATTGAGAAACGAAGCTACCTTCAAAAGGATCAGAAGGTGCGCCTTCAAGCCAGTCTCAGATCTTCTTCGTCAAGTCCACCTGCCAACTGAGGCGTCCTGCTTCGCAAATGACGATCAACAGCTTGAATCACTCATGTATTCGTAGAGAAGGCAGGCACTAGCTGCATTTGTTTCTGAATGACGTCGCTGCCAAAAAATGCACCCGCTGTCCTTGGCAACTCCTCAGCGATGCATCCTCAGAGGAGCCTGATGTGCAGCTCGAAAGGCTGATCATGGAAGATTCAAGTCTCAGAACCAAATCCCAGGCTCTTGAGCAACTGGGGACACTGGGTTGGAAGTCAATTTAAAATCACTGACTTGCAGCTTGCTAGCAGCCTGGATGGAGATTGACACTGTGGGCGAAGCCTCTGTGCAGTTTGACACTGTGGGCGAAGTCTCTTGCAGTTGTCCAACCCATGACAGACCATGACTATTGGAGTCCCCTGCTTGTGAGCCAGAGCCAAGAGCAGATCGCCATTTTTGCTGACAAAAGCCCCAAGGTTGGTCTTCGACCAAGATTGGTGGGCTTGCATGGAACATCGGTTCTTCAGCAAAACATCCGAACCGAACTCACTTCGTGGGGTCAAGCTCGAAAACTTGGACCAGTAGCTCATGCTGCACAAGTTCATCAACTCGCGACTAGTGACTCATAACTACAACCTACCAAAAATTGTTGCGCCAGCCAATGTCTTGAAAACCTCATTCAGTGTCTGTTGCGCGATGCTTCGTGTCCCCACTCATCCATGCTTTCAGCCGTGGATTTCGGTATAAATTCACGCCAAGCGCAACAGTGAACGCAAGTATCACAAGCACACATAGAATCAACCGGTAGTCGCCATCACCGTCAGACATGCCACCATCATCCTTGCCAACAATCGCGTCGGCACCCCACACTCCAATCCCGTCTGTGAACATCATGACCTCAAAGCAAGTGTTTTTCTGAAAATGTTTAAATTTCGGGAAAGCTTGCTTCAAGTAGAAAAACATTATACCAACATAGACCCCAAACAGTTTAGCTGGCAAGAATTCTTGCTGCCGTGAGCAGCCCAGCCCCTGCCTCGGAAAGCTACGTAGACAGCACGACAGCAGCAGGACAACAGAAAGACCAGAGGAGGACATAAGGAGATATAAGGAGGACAAAAGCGGACAAAAGGATGAGGGAAGGAAAACAACACGAACACGCCAAGAGGACAAAAGCAGGACAAGCTGCGACCGGACAACACCAAAAGGACAACAGAACAACATGTAGGGAGCATACCAAGAGGAGACCAAGAGGAGAAGAGGAAGAGAGAGGACAAGAGAAGCACAACACGATGATGGGAGGAGCACGACCGGAGATAGGCTGGCAGCCTTGGCCAATGAAGACCCGAAGAAGGACAACAAGAAGGCTATAGAAGAACACGAGGAGGACAGGACCGAAAAGGACAAAAGGAGAAGAGGAGGACATCCTGACAGGGCTTGCCAGCACTGCCTGACACTGTGGCCAAAATATATTCCCAAGAGAGAGCCAGAGAACCCCGCAAGAAGAGGACAACAGGACAAGGAGAGGCTACTAGGGGCTCCTGGCATCGCTACTAGGAGCAAGGACGCTACTAGGGGCTTCTGGCCATACTACTAGGAACAAGAAGCTACTATTACTAGCTCCTGCACATTGGTTTCCGGAGTTGTCTTTCTAGTGTCTCACCACTTTGTAGCGCACGCTCGCATGTTGTCATGTTTACACGCTGACAGGCTGCCACATGGCCATGCTTCTCGGCTGGCGCTTTCCCACTAGGTGTGCAACTGTCTGCTCGCATGGGACCCTTTGATTGCGCTTGGTGGTGTCATGCCTTCATGCTGCCACGCTGTCATCCGGGCACCAGCAGAAGGACAACAAAGGGAAAACAGGAGGACAACAGGAGGTCAAGAAAGCCGCGGCCAAGCTGCACACCAGAACACAACACGAAGAGGACAACAGGAGGACAACGCCCGGACACTGCGGGCCAGAGACTGTGGCACTTTAGGGAGCAGGCACAGCAGGACAACTGCAGGCCCCAAGAGGACAAAAGGAGGACAGGGCTGGCCAGCGCGGCCAGAGGACAACAGCAGGACAACTGCAGGCCCCAAGAAGACAAGAGGAGGACAAGAGGTTGTTTTTTTTGTTTCGCTCGCGGCATCGCTCAGACGCCTGCGGGGCTACGTCTCTTGAGGACGGCCTTCAGGCTGGGCCCGCTCCTTCGATAGGAGCACTTCTAAAAAAAAGCTAGGCTGGCCAGCTGGCATCGAGCTGGGCCAGAAAGTCAGCTAGTCCCTGGTCTAGGGAGTCTGGTTCTTCCAGGCCTTCCCAGACCTCATCCACTCTCACTCGCTCGCCGCGCCGCTGCAGCTCAGTGCCAAAAGCAGCAGCGCTCTCTCCGGCAGCAGCGTAAAGTTCAGGATCCGCAGCTTCTTGAAGCGCCTCGTTGAGGGCGGTGTTGTCCGCCAAGGCCCATTGGATCCTCTCGCTGGGCCGCAGGCGCAAATCAAAGATCGAGCCCATCGGTTCCAGCTCTCGGGCGTGAAAGGCGGTTGCCAAAGCGATGGCCGCTAGCATCTGGCAGCTATGGGGTTGGAGTTTCACTGGCCCTTTCTCAAGGTTCAGGGATCCCCCACACCAAACACATGGGAGGACTTCGTCGGTCCATTGCGGCCAGGTTGCCTGCATGTGTTGCTTGCCGAGGTGCCATAGTTCCCAGTGCCAGGACTGGACATGCTCTTCGAAGAGGCTGTAGCTCATGAGGGGGATGCCGCAGACGGGGCATGTCGTACGCAGCAAGCGTGCCAAGAGCGAGTCCTGTGCTTGGAAGACACCGTGGTTGGCTTGGACATAGCACCGGACTGCGTGTGTAACGAGTTCGTCCTTCATGAGGGCGGAAGGTGTAGCAGCCGGTGGACAGGTCAAGTACCTGTCGGCATCAACAAGCCACACCAAGAGGATGTCCTGGCCAGGCTCCTGGTGTAATGCATGATCCTGTCGAGCTTCCCAGTTGTCCTGGAAGGAGACCCAGCCATTGTGGCCTTGACAGCACGCTCGGTAATGGCCCGCCTCATGTGAGCCTGAGTGAACAATCAGGCTGGACACCTGATAGGCCACATGGTCAACGGCCGTGTCCCCTGCCTCCCTGAAGCGTGGGAGCCAGATGACTCCATTTGGCGGCAGCTGGAGGCTCCACGGGGCTTTGGCAGGCGTACCTTGGGGCATGAATTGGGACTTTTCAATGTACACAGCCACACATGTTTGGGCTCGAAGCAAGGCGGTGATCATGCCATACTGTGTGTGCCACTCATCCACACACGCTTGCAAGTCCAGCTTCTTTTCCGCCGATGCGGCTGGCGTCAAAATGATCGGACCAAGTTTCCCCCCTTGGTCATGGCATTTGAGCTGTGCAGCCTCTTCGAACCTACGCTCCCAGGTGTTGTCCACCAGTCGTGGGTTACACCATCCCAAAAAATGGCTTGTGAAGGAAAGCAGCTCTTGTTGCCCATCACACTGCCAGCCCCTCAACATGGCCTGTGTAGCCGGATCCTGAAGGAGATCCAGGGAATTGCCGGCGCGGCTGCAAAGCGATTGAAACATCTCAGTGCCAATGCCCAAATCTTGCCAGTAGAGGCCTCGGCATTGAAGGTGGGCCCATAGGAAGGAGACCGTTGTGGCGTTGAGCCAGCAAGCGTTCTGCTGATTGATGAGCTTCCACCCCATCACCGTTGCCAGACCCTGGTCTAGGTAGAGCGGCCACCTCGACCCTGACCTTTGAGGATTTGGCTCACCAGCTGCGTCGGACGGACCATGTGTTGGCGGAGTCTGGCTTCCACCAGCATCCATACTGAGTTGTGTCTCAGCCACAGCAGGGTGTCGTAGAGGTGATTGTCCCGCAAACTGACCTGGATCAGGTAGGGGATCACTGTCTTCTTGGAGGTCTGTGGGGGCTGGAGGCTCTTGAAGCGCAGGAGGAGTGCCGGATTCTTCATGCATTCCAACAGATCCTCCAAGGCTTTCTGAATCTTCTCCCCCTTGATAGGGGTCTTGTTGGGCAACACTTGAAGCTTCTTCTGCGTCGGATCCCACTGCAGGAAGGGCCACAATCCCTCTGGCGTGATGAGGTTCTGCTGTATCGCCTTCTGCCACAGTGGATCTTGGTGATCCTTGGATTGGAGTTTCGTGAAGCGGTCGAGGATCTCTTGGATCACCATCTGGCCCAGTACCACGCGGAGTGGTTGCGTGGTTGTGCCCTTGGTCTGCTGGTCTTTCCACTGTTGGGTGTGCTGCAGGATGTTTGGCATCAGAGACACGGGGCCTGCTGGCAAGAAGAGCAGAAATTGGTCTGTGCTGGCCAGCGCCTGCAATTGTGATTCGTGTCTCAGCGACAGCAAGATCAGCTGTCCCACTGTCTGTTGGAGCGCCACCAGTTGTTGCATCTGGGGCTGGTGGGTGTCCTGGTGTTTGTTTTTGCCTTTTCCCTTGCCCCTGCCCTTTCCCTTCTGGTGCCCGTCGGGTCGATCCTCTGCGTCCTCCTCCGGTTTGGCTCGCTTCAGCGGTGGGCGGGCAAGGAGTCCGCCCACCGCATCCTGGACCTGCTCCATCCAGTCGGTGTCCTCCATGTAGTCCATCTGATTGACTCGCCCGGATGTAGTGGGCCAGGTTCAGTGCCACAGGACACTTGTCCGGAATGTCTTGAGCCCGCATACACCACCGGCAGCAACCCAAGTCAGGGCATTGCACTTGGTCATACATGGACTGGATGAGTACATGATCGATGGGATGGTTGTTGTCCAGGTGGCTAGGGAGGTCGTCCACCGGCAGGTGTTGACATGCCAGACAGTGCTCTTCGAGGCTCGGGCGCAGGTGCGGTTGGCGCCAAATGGTGGCATAGTTGGCGGCAGTGAGTAATGCCTTCAGGTCAGCCGGTACCTGCGGTCGCAGCAGTGGCTGAAAGAGATGGCCCAATACGCCAGCTTGCAGTATGACTGGACATTTGTGACCCGATCTGGCTGTGCGTGGCACCGGGCAGTAGCAGTGTGGGGCATCTGGAGGAGCCTGACTGTAGGCGTGTTGGATCCAGGCCTGGGCTGCAGCCATGGTGTCGGCATGGTCGCGATACATGTGCTTGGCTATTCCCGTGGTGTTTTGGATGCGTCTGCCACAAAGGCCACATTGTTGTTGGAGTGCATCCCTCAAGCGGGGATCTGTTAGCCAATCGGAGGGCTTGCCGCGAGCACAGAGCTGCTGAACCCATTGCCACTGTTGGGGGACGTGATCACCAGCCCCCCTGTTCGCATCGAATCTCTTGCAGGCCAGGGATTCCACATGCATGCGGAGACCATAGAAGTTGTTGAAGGTGTTGCCGCAGTGGGCACATTGTGTGGTGCCATTGGCTGAGTCACGGGCCGGCTGGAAGGTGGCTTCAGTGACTTCGGGGCCAGCCTAGGCACGTAGGGCTGTCTGGGAAAGCTTCCCTTGGGACGGTCTGGGAGGGGCAACCAGTTCATCCACCACGTCATGGCCTCTCATTTGGTGGTGTTCAAGGTAAGCCACTATAGCCAGTTGACTGGCCGCCGGACAGGAGTGGAGACGATTGGTGTTGTTGCCACAACCAATGCAGGGTCTGCTGGTGGTGACGGCTCTAGCAATGGGGCTGAGGAAGGCCTGTGCAGCATGCCAAACCTTGTGGTGCATTCGGCTCAGGTGTTCATGGATAGCCTTGCCACTAGGTTGCCACTGGGCACAGAGGATGCACTTGTTCCGTATCAGGTCCAGTAGCCGTGGCACACTCACCACCCCCAGCCAATCCTGTTGTCTGGCTGCCTGTCGGAGTTCAGGATCATCGGCTGGACATGGACGGTCCTGCAGGGCGGCATCGAATTTCAAACAGCGGCCCAGGGAGATGTGCTTGACAAGGCCTGACCAGAGCTGGAACTGGCCGCCGCAGTGTCGACATTGCGGCATGTCACCTGCAGCATCACGAAAGATTCGAAACGGTTGAGGAGCCATCTTTTGTGCGGGATGGTTTCGAGTGATGTGTTGCATCAGGGTCATGTGTGATGGCATGCATGTCGAACAATGCGGGCATTGCCAGCTGACTGGAGGAGCCTCTGCGTCGACTGGCTGCTTAGGCACCAGTGCCTCCAACACAATATCACAGTGCGATGCATACGGCAGTGTGTGCAGGAAATCATCGGGCGCCAATGTGCTGAGGAGGCCTGTGCGATCAACTCTGAATCTGGTCCAGGCATCGCGAAGGAAGTCCCTGATGCTGGGAACTCCCAAGCGAGAACGCAGGGCCTCAGTGGTTTCACGTGTGATGTAGGAGGGTGAACGTGCGATTCTGCGGAGATCTGTGGTACAAACTGTCTCAAGCAAGTCTACTCCTTTCGATGTCATGCCACTGGCGGCCAAGCCGTAGACATACGAGGCCCGGACACAGCTCGTCCACAGGCGGACTCGACTCCCCAGGCTAAACGCGTGCCGGCGTTGGAAAAATGCTCTAAGGCGAGTGTAGGTCAGTCGACCGACATGAATGCGGTGCTTTAATGTCTGCATCTCAAAAGGACCATAGCTGATCTTGGTTCCTAGATAGGTGTGCTGTGAGACCCATGGGATGAGGCAATCCCCGTGTTGGCGGGGCACAATGAGGTAGCGGCCTCCTTTGTTGTGTTTGGTCCATCTCTTGAAAAGTCCCGCCACCTTCGAGCCCGACATCCGAAGCAAACAGGCAGTCTTCCGCAGATTGACCACTAGTTGATTGGCCTCAAGGACATCAAGGAGGTGACCGATGTCTAGCAGTGCTCGGGGGAGATCCTCAAGATGGTCAAACTCCCATTTCAGCACTAAGTCATCAGCATACGAGATCAGATGGGCCCTCAACCACTCCAGCGGCTGGTCAATGCTAGCAAGAAATTGCATCAGAATGTCAAGCAAACAAACATTCCACTGGAGGGGCGAGGCCACACAGCCTTGGCGTGTTCCCCTGGTGGGTACCAACTGGCAGGATTGACCCCGGTGGTCAATGTGATACGCTGCACCATGCAGCCAGGCCAGGAGCAGGACTTTAAGGTCGGGGGGGCAGTTTACCTGATCTAGTCCAGGACCTAGTCTATCACGAGGCATGCGATCGAAAGCTTCAGAAAGGTCCAAGCTCAGACACAGTCCCCCTCCGATTCGACGGGGCGCTTCCCCCGCTCGTCTTTGCCACAAATTTTTCATGGCGCTCTGACTCCTGGCACGAACACCACGGCAGTGATGAAAGACCGCTATTAAGGCATCTATCGTGGATCTATTGGGTAAGTAGCCTAACAATGGAGCTTGACAGAGACTTGGCAAAACACGCGGCCGGACCTTCTGCATCAAGGTTTGAAGCACACATTTGCCCAGGACATCCGTCAAGGCGATAGGCCTGACATCTTTCGGGGTCTGCACTGCCCTTTTTGCAATGAGGGTTAGCCAGGCCGCCTGCCAGTGCTGCGGAATCGTGACCTTACGATGGCACCACTCACGAACGAGCAACTGATGACAGATCTGGGCAAGGTCATCCGCTAGGCATCTGACCACGGCAGGTTGCAGGGAGCCTGGAGCCACTGCCTTGGTCAAAGGAACGCGTGCCAGATTGTATCGGAGATCATCTGCAGTGAAAGGCATGCTCGACAGACGGGCAGATGGACCAGGCATCTGAGGGGTGGACCCACAGTAGACGGTCTCGAAATGCTGTCGAAGGAGGTCCAGTTCGACCTCAGGGCTTAGGGCTAGCCCTGTGGCTGTGCGGAATCTAATTGGCCGAGACGGCTGCTTAGGGCTAAGTTCACGGACTATCATGTGGAGTTGACGTTGATCATGAGCCCTGTCGGCCTGCGCGGCTCGGTGCATTTGCTCTTGGAACCGATCCTGCTTCTGTCTGTGGGCATGAACAGTCATGGCTTTATGCAGTCGACTATGGATGGTGGCGTGTGTCCAGGCTTGGAAACTCGAACGAAGGTCAGTGACTACCAAGCGCCTGAGCTGATGATAGTGAGACCACATGGTGGCGGCATACCTGTGACTGGCCGGATGTCTCCAATCAGGGTCAGTGCGGCAGGGGGGACAGGTGGGGATCCAGTAGTCATGTGACCATTGACTGACCTGCTGAAGAGTCGACCATGTCGGATGCTGAACTTGCAGGCGGGCCTGGGCTTGAGGCACGAACTCTTGCCAGGCGTCATCTTGTGCCCGGTAGTGCATCTGGAGGTCCTGGCGTTGGTGCCAAGTCCAGCGTCGGTTCCGAGTCGTGGGGAGCTTACGCCAGACCTTCCAGTGGACAGGAAGACTGCTTAGGATCGGCATATGGTCACGGAGTGCTCTCCACCCTGCCACCGGGAATGACTGAAAGACTCGGCTGTGCTTAACCTGGCTATCCTGTTGACATCGTCTCATGAGGACATGATCAATTGTGGACTTGCCTCCGGGACCTTCGTAGGTGTGTGCATGGTCATAGGGCCGAACCGTTGCAAGCGTGTGCTTGCGGCAGAGCTCACGAAGTTCCCAGGCATCCTGCGGTTCATGGGGTTGTTTGTGGAGGTCAGTATTGAAGTCTCCAGCTACAACAAGAACATTCCTGATAGGGAGGTGTGTGAGGATGGTGTCCAAGGAGGACCAGACCTCAGCTCGGCTATCAAACGGCTTAGCTCTTGTGGAGGTGACTTCAGTGGTGTATTGATATACCTGGACTATTTCGAGAGTCGTCTGAGCCAGCCGGCATTTGACATGCTGAACTCGACCAGGTATGGGCGAGGAACTTGACAGGTCCTGTTGGCCGCACAAGCGATGGTGAACCAGGGTCAACAATCCTCCATGGTCTCTACGGTCCTCTGTCCCGGCCGAAAGGGCCCAATACCCATACGTGCTCCAGTCTTTGGTGAGATGCCAGCGTGTGCCCTGAATACATGCAATGTCAACCGCATGATGACTCAAGTACAACATGAGCTCTTGCCAAGTGGCGCTGGTGAGCCCTCCTGCGTTCCAGGACAGAAAGGAGCAGCGTGGCCCGCCAGTCTTCTGATGCAAGGTCTCAGGCCGGTTCAGGAAGGGAAAAGTCGCCCAGGTCGCATGCATGTTGGAGCCGCTTGACATCAAGGGAGATGCGGGGACGTCCAGGGGTGGTGTCAAACAGCTCGGCTGGGTGGTCATCCACAGGCGGCCTTTATATGAAGTGCAGCCATCTCTCAGCAGGCGGTGCACCGCTTTCCTAAAGCTCTTCTTCGTGCTCCAGGTTGAGCTGAGCCCTTGTGCCCCGGTGGGGCCTACTATTTGCCCTATTCCACAGTTCTTTTGGAGGGTACCAGGGGTAACTCGACCGGTCGGGTCTCCTCCTCCCTCTGTCGTGGACCAGAGGGAACCCTCACCTCTCATGGACCAAAAACTTTGCCAAGACTCGCTGAGGCACCGTGGTCCACGCCCGGACTTGGGACCGGGATGCCCAAGAAGCAGCCAACCGATCAGCAGCAGCTGGAAGAACAAGCCAGCGGCCACCATTCAAAGTCGTGCGAGATCGTGTGGCGGGATCGAAACCCCGCTACTGGGGGGCTGGCATGTTGGCCAACTTGAGCATAGAGGCTTGGAGGACAAGAGGAGTACACAGGGTTGGCCAGCGCGGCCAGAGGCCCCAAGAGGACAAAAGGAGGACGCAGGGTTGGCCAGCGCGGCCAGAGGAAAAAAGCAGGACAGCTGTAAGCACCAGGAGGACAAGAGGAGGACAAGACCCGGACACAGCGTTCAGGGGCGCAGCCACTGTGGCCAACTCGTTTTTACTATGAGAGAACCCCAACAGTAAACTGTTTGGGGAATTCAAAGAACTGGGTGTTCATCAAAAGTTTTTCAAGTAAGGATAGCACACGCACACAAAGAGACTATGTTTGATGCCCTGCGACAGACTTCAACATCATGAGTCTTGAGAGTGGAGTTGGGAAAATGCAGCCAGAGGCCACGATGAAGCCGACCCAGTAATGATGCATGTGAAAGTCGTCTGAGAAGGCGATGAAGAGGAACCCGTGAAAGAGTATCACCAGGAACACGTAAATTAGGTAATGGCACTGGCCCCGAAAGTTCAAATGGACTTCAGGATTTGGCTCACCAACGGTAACTCCTGTCATCCGAAAAAGCTTGTAGAAGCATCGACGCAGGCTCGGGAGGCCTTCGCACATCAGTATGAGAAGCGTTAGCATTGTTGTCATTGCAATAAAAATGTCAAAGGAACCGAAGGTGCTGTCCGTGGAGAGACTGTGAGCCATGAACTCCTCGCAGTTCTTCCAAACGAACTTGTTGGTGAGAAACTCACAACAAGCAACTGCGACAAACAAGGCACGGTGCTGCGGCTTACTTGGCGGGACTTTGCAAAGCCATGCCAAAACAATGCTGCCGCTGAGCAAGTGGAGGAGATTTCGGAGATGAGATTCAGTGGATTGATCCTCCACTGTCCAGCAAAACCACCCATACTGGTCACAGTCACTGAAGCCACGGATGACCCCATAACCGAACATGGGAAAGCAGCACCAGATAAAGAGGCCAATCGATGGCTTCGCAAATTCCAACGACCACATCGGCCACTGACCCACCTTCACCGGCTTGGCCATCTCAGCCGTTGCTGGATCATTGGTGTTTGAAGGCTGTTGCGGGGTCGAAGTTCCCTCAAACCTCTGCAAAAGCAGCAGCTTCACATTCCGAATGGATTGAATGCTATAGAACCAGCATGCCAGTAGAGGCAATGTGTAGCAAGCAATTGCTGCACCGCAGCTTGAGTTCACCATCTATGGCAAGATCACGAAAGGTCTGACTTGTGGCCTTATGCTGCATTACTTCGAGACATCGTTGGCCTAAAGCTTCTTGGCATCTTGATCTCTTTATATAGAGGGTCTTTGTGCTGTGGAATCCTTCTGCCTGGTTGTTGTTTGTTGCTGTAAGTTCTTTTCACATAAGATTCATAAGATGCCTATTGAGGCTACCTTGACAGGCGACAACACGAAGAAATTGCACGCGGGTGTTGTTCTTCGTGTAGAACTTTTTAGCACTTCGTTAAAACCATATGGCGTACAGCGCGATCATAACCGACACTGAATCTCGTCTTGAAAGCTGATCCATGCCCCTTTAAGACAGGTTTGACTTCAATCGTGTTTCCAAGTAGACAGTGCATCAACAGGACCAACCTTTTCTAATTTAAAAGAGCCTTGAAACTCTTGAGATCGCTTGAGATCCCTCCTTCACCGGGCGTCTAGGCCTTCGGAGATCTGCTTTGCAGCCTCCATACAGCCAAACAAAAACTAATCCCCAAGTGTCTCTCAAGCCCAAGGAGTTGAGCCAGCTCGGTCCATCCCGCATCCTTGTTCAGCTTCCAACTTCCAGCCTTGTGGAAGATAAGCTCGTCGAAGTGATTCAGCATCCAGTGGCAATGCCTTTGCACTGCAAGACAAGTGAACAAGTCTCAAAGATGTCTGCCACAACAAGTACTGTATTCTGCTAGACTTGTCACCAATGGCTCACTGGATTGCCACGTGATGTTTATTACAGTAATTCAGAACAGGTCTGCGATACTGCCTGTCAAACCGCGTTGAACGAAGCTCCAATCAGGGTGGTCATTCCTCTGCCATCCTGGCGTGGACAGTCGGGGCTGCATCCATCATCTCCACATGTTCCTTTCGTTGCAATGGAGTTAAGTACAGTCCATTTTTTGTCCATTGCTAAATCAAAGGACCCCTGCTGACATTGGATCCGCGTATCTCCAGCCCGTCAATAACTTTTATCGGTTCATCTTGCATTGAGCCTACTCCAAAAGGACATGTGCCGAAACAAAGCTTCGAACTCCACAACTGCTTTTCGCACCGCTGAGGTGCCAGCTGCTGCACGGTAGGCCACCAGCAGGCCTAACAATGCTCTGACAAAGGATACTTTGTAGCTGAGCTTTTAGGTTGGAGGCCATTGCTAGTAGGTTGGAGGCCATCGCTTTCAAGGACACCAAAGACTCACTACATCTCACTGACTCACCTCGGCTTGTCAGGTCATGGTGCCTGTGCGGTTCAGCGCCGTGGCCACTAGCCCTTCCACGGGAAAAGCCGTGAAGATCGAAGTCGAGCCCAACCTTGCGACTTTCTTAGAGAGTCTGGAGATTGAATGCAAGGAGCCAGATGGAACAAGTTATGTCAATAGAAATCAGACGAACAAATGAAGAATGAAAGATACCAAATGGTTTGAGCTGTGAAATAGATCGAAAGTAGCTTGGCTACTTCGCAAAGCAGTCTCGGTGATCTGAATCAATGGGCTGAAAATGGGACACTTGAAGGTCAATCGAAGAACAAAAAAGGAAGAAAACACGATTGAGGACATAATCAGGTTCTAAACCATGTTTGCAAGAAAAGCACAAAACCAGCCAGGGACACGTGAGTGCGTGGGCCTCTCCATTGAAGTTCTCGTAGACCTCAACCTTTGGCACGGCAAGCTGTTTGACTAGCAACTAGGTTCTTTCAAACCTGACATTGACCCTTTCAACAAATCACGCCAATCGTCGTTGCCAGGTCTTTGACCATCCTACTGAGTTGGTCCTACCGATCATCGTTCATCCACGGTAATAATTAGTAAGGAAGCTGTTCGGCGTGGTATTTGCAGCTCTATCAGTACAACATCCCATGCTTTGAGTGCAAGCAAAGGTCGCCTCCTGCGCTGTGGCGAAGCCTTCCACGTCATCTCTGTAGACGCACATGGCCTGCCATGGACTGTGAAGCTGCCATCAAGTGGTTCGCTCCACTTGGATTTGCTTGCATCCACGCCACAAGTGAATCTATGTTTGGAGGTCCAAATGATTTCACATTTTTGCCCAGAACATGCTGCCTCTGGAACCTAGTGACCTAGTACTTTACATGTTGCCCGGCAGCAAAATAAGCTGAACACCCATGCCGGTAGCACACCAACTCCTCCGAGGAAGACCTGCAGCAATTGACTTGCAACAAGTTAGCCTGTCGTCCGAACAAACATGGCCAAAAACTGTGTAGGAGACTTCGCTGATGAGTGGTTGTTTGGTTCAATTTCGGCCTCGCCAGCACTGCCTAATAAGTGATCCTAAGTTTGTTATAATTGTTTAACAACATTCACCAGATTGATTGGCGCTTCGTCAAAAGAAGACCACAACAAGCACGCGAGGCACCATGGTGATATCATCCGCAGGGGATCGTAGTGATGCTGCCTCCAACAAAATCACTCCAGGTCACTCACAAAGAGCGTTGTGGTTATTCACAAGTGACCCTTAGCCAACTGTGATCCCGCTGGCAGCAGCCTTTGGGTACTCTTCTTTGTGATGACAGGTTTTGGGCAGTCTGGTTGGAAACCAAAAAGGGCAGTGTTACAGTTATCAAAAGAATCGTCAGTCACAAGACTCTGGACTTCGACGTCTACTCTGAGTGTCCTATCTCACGCACCCTTCCACTCACTCAGTTGGTCAATCTCCTGAGTTATGGACTGTTGCTCGCGTAGTGTTCAAGCCGTTCACGCTCAACAAGATCACCTGAAAAATGACACCAACTAGAGAGACAAGCTGAAACGCTGATGGAAGACATGTGAGACACAAGCAAGGTCGTACCCATGTGTTCGTTGATCACTTCGAGCAAGACACAGATTATTCTTGAGGAAGTACTTTTGATCAGGCTGCCAAACTTTCCAAGTCTGTAATCAGAGCCTCGCCGTTCGCCAATGGAGGTGCTGAGGCAACTAGCGCCTGAGGACGCAAGAGGTGCAAGCAAACAACCCCTAGTCCGCTGACCCCAAGCTAGCTTCCGCCTAGCGGAGCGAAGCCTGGGATATCGCCTGAAAGCAATTGCGCGAAGGGTTCCCACTGCGCACCCGAAGTCATTGGTAGCAGTGGTAGCGTATCCGGCGCAAACTACAAACGACGAGTCACACTCTGAAGTTCTTCCTCTTCTACGTTTCAGTTGAATGAGTGGTTCTTGAGCCATGTTTTGTGGTGGGCCTTCGGTGAAACATGCGGCAACGTTCAATTCTGACTGCACGCATAGCCCCTTCGTTCTCAAACATGTAGAAAAGTCTTCAACATGTATATAGATCTTGGACGAAAAGGCGCCCAAACCTTCGCGTATCACGCGTCAGAACCGAAGGAGACCCTATGACCCCGCTGCTGGCCTCACAAGTTGAAGCCACAAGTGGATTTTTCCGTCCGACGCAGCCATGTGAACGGTTATGATTTTGCGCTCTTCCTGTCGGAGATCAGGATGCAGTCGAAAGAAAACCCGACGAGAGTCCGACCGTGGTCGACCCTGTGGCCGCGGCTGCAGGCAGCCCCTCTTGTGGCTGTCGTGCCATGCGTAAGGCGCCTCCGAAAGAACAAATCCTTGAGGCGTTCTTGCCTGTTGCCAAGGCAACATGTCCGGGGGCGGCGCCCGCCCCGCAGCCAAATGCTGCACAAAATGTAAATGTGCATCTGTTGCTGCAAAGGATGACACATCTCCAGCGAGCACAGCGACCGCGCGCGGAGAACTGGAGCGGTTCGCACTGCTGTGTTGGCACCTCTCTGTTCTCCCTGCAGTCGGTCGCCTCCACGGCGCAGTAGTGTTGTTCCAGCTCAGAGCTGAAGGTGAGAGCGACGATAGATTCTGTTGACTCTGATCATGGTCGCCGTTCCAGGCGCGGAGTTTGTTATTTTCTTTCTTCTACAAGCAGGTGACTGCGTTCGGCTACAATGACTCTCTTCAAGCTCTCTGCACGAACACGCGCACGCCACGCAGCGAGGAGCAGGCAATCTAAGCCTCATATCCCTGCCACCGACATGGCCCCTCACCCTCAGAAATGCCAGCTCGGCCAGGCTTCCGCTTGCGATGGACGACCTTCAGCTGCAATGGCACGGTCGGACATATGCATGATCGTCTCCTGAAAGCGGCCCAAGCTCAAAACAAGAAACCCTTACATGTTTGTGCGAAACCTATCTCCTCCTTGATCATGTCCCATGGAAAGTTGTTGAGGACTTCAAGCGCCCGCCAGAGGCACTGGCCATCTGCTGACACGGTTGTATGATCAAGCTGGCCTTTGAAGCTGGCTCTTTCAAGGAGCACAACGCCACCGCCAAGTTGCCAACTCTGATGTGCTTGGCGATGTCCCGTGGAAGTCCGTAGTCTGGCCCAGGATGATGTTGGCGTGGGTCACAAGGTCACTAGGGCCTCCAATTTTGTCACTTCTACTCCAAATTTACCATCGACCCATTGGCGTTTGCCTTTCCGCTTTTGGGTTCCCCTGCCATTTCCACTCTTGATGAAAAATCTTTGTGCGCAGAACTAGGGCCTAAGGGCGTGGCGCAGGGTTTCGAAACTGCCGCTTGGCACCCCTTTCGGGCCCCTTCTGCGCGCAGAACTAAATGGGCTAATGGCGTGCACAGGTTTTCACGTTGATGCTTCGGCCAGGACTTCTGGCATTGGTAGGCATCAGCAGCACCCGGGCGTTAGCCCATTCTTTATCTGTACGAAGCAATCAAACAAAATGAAAAAGTACTTCGTATCCCTCATGCTACAATGCCACTATTGCCACAATGTCCAAAACGCAGGAATAAAAGATCGTGAAAGTATGTCAACTTTGATTACTTAGCTCCTGCAAAGAACCTTTCCCTCCAACAGGGCTTGCTTTCAGGTAACCTCGTTTGTGGGCCCCATGCAAATCTCTTAACATGTCGCAACATAGGAGCGCAGCACCTAAACCTTTGCCCCTTGTGCCTCCGTAGCGAAACTACCACTTCACAGCTCGGAGCGTCAAGCTCCAACCCACCCAACAAGCAACTGCAGTGCGTGACTTCTTTCCAAGTGGCACGGGTAGCATCCACGGCAGCCACGGAGAGGCGGCGATGGGTCGGCGCAAAGGTCCAGTTGCTCTCGCTGACGTTGGCCTGGTGGCTTCTATGTCCACAAGTAGTCAAGCAATCCAATCGCGAATGCAGTCCACCTCTTTATGAAGACCAAACCTGGTTAACCTGCAGGGAGACAGATCACCTGATCTCCGGTCCGTTGGACTTGGTCATTTTCGAGCTTCCAACCACGCAACTTATCATATATTTCAATCAGGGTGCATATCACGTTGCTGAGCATGGACAAACCATGTAGCCCAACCTCAGCTCTACCAAGACCACAAGGGACAGTGCGGTAAGCTGAATGCCTCAGTGTTGTTGTCGCTCACCAAGGACCTTGGCCGGTGAAGGTGGATTTTGAGATGCTTCTGTAGGCTCTCGCCCCTAGGAAGAGTTGCAAGAGTGCACGACATGCTGTAAACATTCACCGGAAAAGAAAAAGGAACCGAGCTTCCTCTGGCATAAGGAACCATTATAGTTATAAGTGTTTTGTGCAGGAGGAGTGAGTTCTCTTTTTGGTTCATTCAGCAGGGAGGAACAGTCTCTAGCTCTCTATGGTCGCATTGTGAGCTACGTAGTTCAAGTGGCCCTCATCGAAAGGCCAACGGTCGCCCTGTTTCGCAACGGTATCAGTGTCAGCATGGATGTTTACGCCACGTCCAGTGGAGTATAATGTACGAGTTCCAACCAGAACTCCTCCGCTTCAGGGAAACATGCTGTGCAGTGCTATCTCAGCCAGGCAACACATTCCCAGCAATGAGGGCGGTCTCACCCAGAATGAGTGCGCCATCGGCCACCTTATGGGACAGCAACCCGATCTCCGGCGATGTCGAGTTATCGTTGTAGTGGTAGGTCCCTGGTCGGTCGCCTCGACGTCCGAATTCCAGGTCCCTCCACTTTACATCCCATGTCGAGAACACCTGCCCTCTACTGTCCAGCAGGTTTCCCCACCATCCCTTTTCACATCTGTTCACGTTCAACTAGCTCAGCACTTGGACGGCCTCATGTCTGACCACAATCTCTTCCAACTATAACAAGCAGAGACAAGCCCCGAGGCCATCCCCCGGCCTCAACAACTCTGGCCTGCACAGGCAAACACATTGGCATGTGGTCGTCAACGGTTTTGGTCATCCCTTTCTGACTTTGCCATGCTCTCCACACACCTCGTCTCAGCATCACCAGTTTACAAGTCAGCCAGGACACTGTAGTGAGGGATCAAAATGACAATCAATGGGTCTAGCACACTGACACTTAATTGGCGTGTTTGATCACCGGCACCCCACCTGCAGGCTTGAGGTCGCATCATCTGCGAAGGCGACCACTGCAGTTGACTCAGAGAGTGCAGCCACATCAATGTTGCTGGTCCTTAGTGGGTGAGTGTCCATCTCAGGACAACGTGAAAGCCAGGGAGAGGAGGCCATTCAGGAAGGCCTCAACTGGGTGCCAGACGTTCCAGCATTCACCACCTGAGCGTTCGGATGCAGACTCCAAAACTGAACTCCAAGAACTGTTTGTCTAATCATCTATGAAATCTATGATGGCTCAAACCCGAGCCGCTTAAAGAGCCAGTGTTTTCGAGCCATGGATTTCCAAGGAAGCAAGCAGACGAATGTTCTTTCCATGAAGCCAACTCTGCATGCTCTGGAGCCCCAGCCTGCTTCGCTCCGAGATGAAGGCTCCACTGGTCTGGAAAGTGGTGGACCACAGTGATCAGCACCACCTGATCCGTGCAGTTGGGCCGCAAATAGCCTTCAACTGTCCAACTGGCTTGGATTTTCTCGTATCGTTACCAAGATTATGCAGCAATAGGCAAATGCTTCACATGACCCAGCACAACCCCTTTGCTCTTTCAATCTTTCTCTCGCATGCAAATCTCCCACTTCTTGGCAAAAGAACAGTTTGAACCAGATTGAAGAATTTAATAGCTACTAGGAACAAGTGCCTTACTAGTAGTAACAAGAAGCTATTAGTAACAAGTGCATCGCTAGTAGTAACAATGTTCGCTACTATTCACTGGTTACTAGCTCATCACCTCCCTACGCCCTGCGCTCTCCGGGCGTCCCCACAGTTCCAAGCTTGGAGGAGCCATCGAGAAAAACTGCAAGCAAAGAGGTTGGAGACAGTCGGGCGACCTGAGCTTATGAAGACTCTGACTCTTGGACTGTCAGCAGAATCTCAGCAAGAGCAAAATCGATGCTTGTAGACAGACTGGCTGGAGAGCTACAAAAAGGCCTTACTGTGACAGGCTGGAAGGTCTTGAAGATGAATCTCTCTGCTGCGTGGGTTCATGTACCTCTTGAACACAAACCATTGTAGTCAATGTGTAGAGGTATGTAGCATGGTATGTAGATGTGTGTTCTAAGTCTACGAGAGCAAGGGAATGCCCACATCTCCCAGCCTTCTGCGACTCTACAGCCTCACGGCTTGTGTACGCACAAGCCTCGGCTCTGACTCTTCAGGTTCTGCCACAAGTTCAAGATTCAGGCCGAAAGACAGAGTTGAGCCATACATTTGTTGAATTGCAAGCTTTTAAGATTGTCGCCATGCCCAAAGGTTGCCGGTGTTCTCTCCTCTGAATGATAGGATCAGGGATCCGTTGCTGGGTTCCCTCATAGCTGCCAAGTCTGAATACTGAGCGTGCTGCTGCATATGGGTCACTGGTGATGCACGGTCTGAATGCATCCTGTGGAGGCTTGTATCGGGTCCACAGAACCCACAAAGCAAGCCATGCACGAGCGCATGTGTTTCTTGAACATGCTAAGGCTAGGAATCGATAGTCCAATAATGTTCTAAACACTCTGATAAACACGCATACAGTACATAATTGTTTTACCACATGTGCATATCTGCGCACCAACTCTGCCCGCCTCCCAATCACCCAAGCCCTCCGGAGGCATGGAGTGGAAGTGCTGGGTCGCTCGACGAGCTTGCCATGTGGGCCTCACGGCGCAAGAGTTACAAAGCAGCGAACAGGATCTATGGCATTCTATGGGTACTGGTAGTGCTCAAGTACTGAACAACAAGAAGAGGCAAAGAACTAGAACATGAATCGATTGAGTTCTTGATGAGGCCATCCTATTCTTCTCCAATACAAGCGCAAGGAAAAGCCGATCTGTATCATCTGCAGTGGGTCATCGTTGCCCAGACATGACTCTGCCAGGCCATGAGCGATGGATGCTGCATGAGCTGGCTGAGGCCCCCAGCGCCCACTGAGGGCCTGTTGGTTGAGCCTGTGGGGAAGACCGGATGCACCATAGCAAAAAATCGCAAAAACAACCAAAAGCTGAGGTCTTCTATCCAGTCTGGGTGTGCTCTATCACTTTCTACGGCATGTTTGCTGAATCCTTGGGCTAGGCAGCTAGAGCTTCTGGTCAAGCGGTCGACACAACACAATAATCAAATTGCGGTGTATGGCTGGAAATAGGGGTTGTCGACACAGCTGATATTCTGAAGATCCAATGTAGCATGTAGAGTCTTTGCGTCGAAGAAATGATTGCCCCCAGACACAAGGTTGAGGCTCACATATCCTTGCTGGCAATCCTTAGCCGCTTAGCCTTCGCTTCCCTAAGTCGGTAGAGGAGGCTAAATGACATTTAAGAAGCTCGTGCCAAACGCAACGATTGCTTGCGGAGGCTCAGTCATTTAAGTCATACTGGCTCCCTTTTCAATTTGCCTTGTGAGGAGGAAGTGGGCGAGCATGTCGAGTGGTTTTCATCTGTCTGCTCTCCCCTGCGTCAATGCCTTCAGCATCATCAGGTTCCCTGGATGCCTCTCCGGACTTGACAAATCCCGATAGCCTTGGGCTGAGCTTTAGAAAGGTGTCAATTGAAAAGGCAAACAACAGAGGCCAGAGGCTGGTCAATCTAGTGAGCATGTTTGAGAGAATACACCAAGATAAATAGGCTTGTGTGAGCTCAAAAGTTCACAGTCTGGAAGATTTACCACTGCGAACCCGGACATGAATTCCAGTTGAAAAATCTAGTCGCCAGAATTCTTCACCCAGTTCCAAAGACAGCGCGGGCCACAGCTGGCCTGTGACTACGACATAGTCTGTGTGCTTGGAGGTAAAATCATCACCTCAGCAGGAGGGCACTGGAGACGTTTGGCTCCCCTAATGCGCACACAGGATTAAGTAACCACCCTATTAATCAAGCCCCGCTCGAGCCCCCAATACTGAACCAATTTAAAACCTGAATTCCACATGTACATCACCCTAATGATGTTTTCCCTACCAGAAACCTCCCTCTATTAATCAAGCCCAGCTGCCCCAGAAAAAGAAAGTTTACTACTATAATTACAGTATTCTTATTTACGGCCAAGGCCAGCATCCAATATCTTCTCGTCAGCATCCTTTGTTCCTACCAAAATCTGAACGTTTTCTAGCTCACAAAGGGTACCCTTTGACAGGCCTCAGTGTTCACACAGAATCATATCAACCATCATCCATCATCAGGTCATCACCTTTATTAGCGGGATGTGGTCTCCAAAACCTCCGATCTCAAACCTTGTTGACCTGGGGGGGGCCGTTTATTAGCACAGTTGGGCTATGAGTTCAAGATTTCCACGTACTTGTTGGGTAACATTGAAAAATAGCTCGCACACCAGACCCCAGACCTCTCTTCACGTTCACTCGAAGCAGTGACTGGCTAAAATCCTCTTGGGAGTGGACTCGAGCTTTCCAGTCAGCCGGGCTGGGGGTCCTGCAGCTCTCGCAGTCCGGCAGCCCTTGCTTCAGTGGGCGCCGCATGGTCAACGCCACCGCTGCATAGCCATCGGAGGGCCGCTGGTGGAAGACGTATCCTTCGACCACATTGGGGGGAAACGCTTACCATCATGCTTTCACAAATCGCAATGTTGATTTTGGGACTGCACTAATGACACAAACCCTATCATCAGTCATGCAAATTGACCTCTCAGGGATTTCTGTAGACCATTTGTTCAGGGTTCTGCAGCATTTCAGGAGAAACCTCAAGCCCAGCAGCCTCCTGCAGGCAATGCCCGATTGGTGGCATCGACCCGCAGCACGGCACCTGCAGCATGGCCTGCCATGCTACAGCAATCGTAGTCCTCAGCGAATTGGAGTTGAAATGAGTCAGAAACTACAGTTTTAATGTGCTTCACTATGTTTTCGACCACACGTGGGATTGTATTCACCATGTATGCTGGTGCAAGTGTTAATGTGAATGGAATCTGCTCCTGTCTTCACTGCTCAATCATTATGAAAACAAAAAAGAAATCCAGGAAAAGTGGCCGCACAAAAAATGAACATGAGATGGGATCCGTGCAATTGCTCTGCAAGAAACTGCCCACTCTGTGGGAGAGCCCACCAGTGTGTTGCTCGTCTCCGGCGTGTCGCTAGGATCAGAGTAGAGGGCCAAAACTCGATGCTTGTCAGCTTTCTCACCTCGCTCCAACACGCAACACCAGTCACTTCTGAAACCAAAGAGGAAAGTTACACGGAGGATGAGGATACCAAACCAAGCCACAGCCACTTGTGAACTTGTCTGACTTCGCTGAATACGGGACTACCATTGGTGGTGCTGCCTATATATCATATATCTCAGAAATGTGACCCGCTGCTTTGACACGGACCCAGACTGATGTCTCAAGACCCAGAAATCACAGCGTTCAAAAACCATCTCTTTCATGAAACTACCTCCATGTCACCAATCATATCCAATTATGCTGTGGGCATGGCAAAATGGGCTTGCCAGGATACTATCAACTAGTACGGTCGGAATGAAGCTTTAGATAACCTCCGACTGTGGCTTGATGTTCTCCTTCCCTTCCTTCATTTAGCTTTTGCATGATCCGAGCCACTGTCCAGCTGTACCAACCCGATGGCACCCACTCTGCCCTCGAAGAAGGATGTGCTTGCGTAGTGCATCGGGTAGGCGACCTTCGAGCCCAAAGTTTGATGGTGTGTGAACAACGTACTGTCTGGTGTGCTTTTTGTTTTTCTCCTCTGGAGCAAACACTGCCGCTGGGCAAGGTGTCCATCTTTCTAGTTGGAATGGTATGTTCACTAGGATTATGTATCACGTCCCAGGTGATTGAAATCAAATGTCTTTTTGTGCCCTTCCCTCAAGTTTCAGAATCCTGTTTATATATTTCTATATATATATATATGTCTATTGATCTTCCTGTCGATCCCAGCCTCGAAAGGATAGTCCTCCAAGTCCACTGCACTCCCATTCTTCGGATTGCTGCCCCAGCAGATCCGCACGCCCAGCGGCAGCGCCTCAACCAGCAAAGCGCCCAAGGCATAGAGCCCCTCTACGCTGGGCACGGCCGTGTCGGACTCCACAGCCGTGGGATTGGAGAGACCTTCAAACAGAGGGCAGGAAGAAACACATCAACCCACTTCTGGGTAGGTGTCTAGTGATAAAATATGAGAAAATCAACACAACACAACAATGCACGGTCTGCACATGAAGTTTTTAACACCGCGCCTGCGATGCTCACAGCCGTGGCATTGGTGGCCCCACAACGTCCCTCATTGCTGATGAGGAGGATCTTGCTGGATGGCAGGATTCCACTCCTTAAGCGTGCAAAGAGTCTGTCAAACGGACCTACCCAAGTAACAGAAGGCACCGAAAAGGAATGCTAAAGCCGCGCGCATGGAGTCCGTGTAGACTTTCAGACCTATATAGATAAATTGGATCTGGGTGCAAAGGAAGCATGGCGAGTCATCCAATATGTATTTTAAAGCCTGTCCTTACTTAATTCACTAGACGCCTACTTAATTAAGTAAGGGAGTAAGCTTCTAGTAACTGGACGCAGGATAACTCACGTACTAATGATTTGGTTCCTAGATTGTTAGGGTATGACCGCCGGCCTTCGCAGATCTACGAATGATCCTGCAGTTCTTGCAACATCTTTTGTGGATAAAGGTTTTAAGGACAGTGGACAATCGATGATACTGGTCTCTTTCTGAATTCTGCCACCCAAGGCTCCCCATCACCGTGATGTGGCAGGGCCTCCCCAGCACGACGCAGTCCACCACGGCGCTGAGGCGAAACCATCGCAGGTCCGGGTCGATCTCCACTCGGTAGAGGGTGGAATCCTCAGAAATTTCCCCTCGTGATTCTGGGTTCTGTTTGGGAATCAATAGGTCTCTATGTTGGGAACACTTCAACAATTCATGTGATGATTGAGAAGCTTCATCCAGGCTAGAAACAGCAGCCACGGGCCTTTCGGCGATTTTCTTGCCAGGACTCCGACAGCGAACCCTCCCTCTCTGGATCATGAGCCCAGCAAATCCGGTGGGATGCACCATGCTTCCCAGCATTGATGCCGAAGGAGTACAGGTTGAAGCTGCCTGACAAAACAGTACTCAATCTTTCTATTGAACCCCATGTGGATGACATGTTGATCAGAATTCCTCTACCGTTCGCAAGGGTTCCCAGGTGCTCCAGCTTATTATATCGTCAGCATAGCTCCTCTCAACATCCAACAATTCGAGAATTCGACAGAACACACACGGAAGTGTTAAACTCTTTTGGGCTTTGGAACTGCTCCCTTGGATCCATTGGATCCCTTAGAGCACGAAGAATCACTTTGCAGTCCAATGTCCAAAGGCCTTGAGAATCTTGGGTCACAGCCGTGGGGTTGGACGTTGACCAGCGGTCATCCAACGCCGAGATGTTGGGGTCACCACAACGGCTGGTGATCTCCTCAGAGGAAATCCATGCCATCAAGGCAGTGAATGCAATCAAATATATACGGGGAACGACATCATTTCGTCAATCTGTATTCATCTCCAAGACGTAACTCCAAGGGGGCTGGTCAAGATAGTTGCCCCCCCTGTCAATCCTTGAACAAAAGTAAAGGCCGCATCAAGACCCTTCAGCGGTGGGTGCTGATATCGAAATTTAACAGCATGGCCTAAAGTCTAAGTTTGCGATGTGCTACATTGAGCAATCCACCAACTCACCAACTAGTATGAGGAGGTGGAGCTCCAAGTCAGTACAGCACGGTCGCAAATCAGAGCATTTGGAGAAATCAACATAAACCTGTGATGTCTTGGTCTTGACCATTTCATCATTTCACAGCAAAGCAACATTGTTTGGAAAGCATCTAAAGCAGGACAATGGAAGGAAGGCTGCTCGGATGTTGTGGAGCACAATGAAACAAGTTGATCCCTGCAAAAGCAGCCAGCTCTTGATTGACACGTCATGTTTAGCTATTGGAGTGATTCTGGATCAAGAGCTGCCACTGTTGCATCTGGCTTGCCCTTTGTGCAAAACTAGCGAATGCAAAATCTCTTGAAGCCAACAGAAGGTTCAATCAGCAGAACCTTGTTGCTAGCCGCCAGACCAATGCCGCTGATGTTGATGATGCACGGAAAATGGAGGAAGCCTCACTTATGCTGGAGTGGTTGACGGTTGACCAGCTAACCAATCAAACAACTCAAGCAAACCAAGTCAGTTGGGGGAAAAGCAAAAGCAAGCAATCTATGCACTTGGCCAAGGCACATTCGAAGTCCATGGCCAACGGTCCCAACATTGTCATGTATCCTGCAAAAGTCTGACTCCAATCAGATGGCTCTTTTCTTCTCAACTAAATACAAGTGGCAAATCCGCTTGTTGGGATTGTTCCACAAAAGTCTGCAATCGTTCAACAGTGCCCGATAGATCACCTTCCGGAAATGTACCTGACTGGACTGACTGAACCTGAATTGTACATAGGTTGTTTCTGGATAAAAAAATCCCTACAACCTCCACATCCACAAGGAACACTCTCCACATGACGTGCACATTGAGCGTGAAGGTCCTGCATCCCGGTAAATGGAGAAGTCCTCCCCCGTGCTGGACACATTTGCCTGTGGATCGTAGGACCAGCAGAGCTTGTAGAGCCCCGGGCCAGGGGGTTCCTCAGCCACCTCCGAAGCACCTACAGCGGACAAAGACTGCCTTTCACGTGCCTGGCCAACAAAGGCCTGAGGTGGCTTTTTGGAGGCAACTTCCAGGGTTTAATAATGTTTCAACTATGCTGCTGCTTGTATATAATCCTTTGCTTCAGAAGCAGTTCGCTAGTAGGTTGGAGGCCATCGCTCTTAGGTTGGAAGCCATCGCTCTGAACCTTGTCACCTTGATACCAAATCCTTCCCGACAGAGTCACCCGGCCTCTTGTTGAGAAGCCCATGTCCCAGTGGTGGACCGGTCTGTACGTGGCCTTGTACCCATCGCTACGAGTGCATCCCTCCTTCGGATTGATGAGAGTCTCGAACGCAGCCAATGCTGGGTGGGCCTAAATGATGCAGGATGCAGCTGTCTTCAAATGGCAAAGTTACAATCTGTTGCTGAAATGGGTAAAGCTTCAATTGAGTTCAAGCATCTAACTCCAACCACCCTCTCTTTCACTCCGAGTGTCCAAGGCAGTTTCACAGCTATGCGACTTGTGCACTAGCTTCAAGCCATTGAAGGTCCTCATCGAGGTGCCATTGAGGCTGACCACACAGTGCTCCCCCAAAGTGCAGAAGACTTCGCCCACCAGGTCGCAGGCCGATGGGTTGTAGCCACCTTGGCTGTGACAATTCCCCCGTCCAAATCGTGTGATATGTCTACCAGAAACTCTTGCCAACCTTTTGATGAGCACATGACTCCATGAATGGACGATTCCATTGCCACCATCCCTCTTCCGGTGCGCCAGGCCACAGGTGGGAGCTGATGCATTGGAGATCTTCACCACGGATGGAAAGCTCAAAGTGCTAAAGCTCAAGCCGGTGGCATACCTGATCAAATGCATCAAGACCGCAGAAGTCTCTGTTACTCAGTGTCCGTTTTGGCATGGGTTCCCTATTTCAGATAATCTGGTATTGCTTCTGTAAGTGTATTGACTTGCGAGGCACCCTACCAATCACTAAATAGTAAAGGGAACGTTGTGCTTCATTTGGTTGTTGGACCAATTGTTGGACCCTACCCAGCCCATCACCCATCGAAGTCTTGCAAGTTGCTCCAGCATGTTTCGATAGACCTCCATCTGCGTGGTGAAGCCGGTGACGCTGGACTCCCAGGAGACCCCCAAGCCTCAGATGAAACCATGTAGGGCTGCTACTTATGTCCCCAACGAGTCATTCCAACCTGTGACTGTTTAATTCCAATCCAAGTCCTTCCCTGGGCTGTTTTCCCATTTAGGAATGAGGAGATCCAAATTCATCATCGCCCGTCCAAGGGCAACTCTTTGGGTGGCCTACGACCGGCAAAAAGTGGAAAGATCTGAAAAACAACAAAAACATCTTCAATGACGTCTCCTTCATCGACAAAACCTCCCTCCAAAGCAAAGACTTTCTATAGCCTAGCCGTGGAGGCTGATGCTCATCGCCAGCAGCCGCCCTGGCTCCGGTCCAGCGCCCAGCACATTCCCAGCGAAGCTGCTGAAGTCACCGTCGGATGCGCAGGCGCCGCTGCTGCTGTCAAGGGCACCAGCCAGACAGTAGCAAGCCTTGTAAAAACCATGGGTTTCGATGGTCAAGACCTGCCACGCTCGTCGGAAATGAGAAGCTGGAGCTTGGAGGAGCTCAGTCGAAATGTTGGAACGAAGAAGGGCCTTCTATCAATCTTTGAATCTGTATCATCAAGCAAAAAGGAGAGAGTAGGTTACTGGAGTGGTCTCGGCTAGTTGCAGGAGTTGTTGACAGACTTTCTGCCTTGTTCCTGGAATGTACAAGTTGGAAATTAAATCAAATTATCTATCAGCTTGTCACCAAACCCTGCCTGGGCTTCACAACCACAGGTGGTTTCGCCCTTGATGACCCTCACCTGTCAGCGCTCGAAGAGCATAGAAAAGTGAATGAAAAGCCAATGATCTATCCACATCGATCCTGGTCAACTTCACCAACCCCCGAACTAGACCTTAAGCATGAAATTTATTCATACATCTTTCAGTCTTTCATACAACGAAGGGCCCCTCACTTCAAAGGTCAGTCGGTCGTTGACCAGGCCTCCAGCTCCGGAGAGAAGCTGCAATTGCTCCCTAATGGGCAGACGAAGTAGCTCGTGGGCCCCGACAACGAGACCCCGGCCAGCAGCGTGGGCGCCACTGCCAGCTCCAAGGCTCGGGCCACCTGGCAGAATCAAGAAATCGTCCTCTATTCACATCAAGCCTTGATACAGTTAATACCAGTATAGGAATGTATAGGATATTGTCATGCAAGCCTCGATTTCACATGTTTTGAAGGTGCTGTTGCAATGTTCAGAGCGTGCCTGGGCCTTCAATGCATGAGAGTCTGGCGACTTCCCCTCAGCCGCTCTCTAAGTCGTTGCCAAAACTACCGTGTTTCAAATGTCTTTGATCACCCGAAGTTGGTGTGTGTGTGTATTGCTTTATGGAAAGCGGTACATCGTTGTGTAACTGTGTAACTGTTTCGTACGGTGAGCGGTGAGCGAATATACATGGAATATGAAAATGGCTCCTTGGTCTTCCAAGCCTTTCCTCTCACCTTTCCTTCAAAGTTGTGGCTAGAAAAACCTCGACTACCTTCTTGAAGCCAAGGTGACAAGATCCGAGGTGAAGGAGAAGCTGCTATCCGCTGTGGCCTCCGCATATCCTCGGAGCGACAGGAACCCCTCCCTCCAGACCGCAACCCAACTTGCTGGAAAACCAAAATGATTGCAAGGAGCCTCACTTGGCTTCATCTCTGGCAGCATACTTCCTGGCTTGTCTCAGCCATTGCCTGGAACCTGTACGTATGTAGATCTCTTTGCGAACGCAGTATATATATAACCTAAGATGAACCACCAAATACTCATCGGTCCATCAAACCTTTTTTGCAAGAAGTCCAAGACTCGTTGCACCCAGTTGTCCGCTTCGAACTCCGTGTCATTGGCACACGTCAGCCACAGCTTCCCTTCCCCAACAGAGTCGGGCCACAGCCATCCTTCAAGGGGACAGCAGTCTTCACTGTGAACTCGATCTGTTAGTAGTTTATCGAAGGATCTTTGCATCAGTTGATTTGGGTCAGGGAAGTCAGCGGAATCCAAAGTAGGTTCGTTGGCAAGAGGTTCAAGGTAAGGTGTATACAATGCCCTTGCCTTTGTTCTGCTGACCAAATGCAACCTTTGATCAGCCAAAAATGGAGATAGCGTTGTCCCAATCTATCAAATAGTCTAACTACTTTTCTTATTCCCTTCGAATGTGTGAAACTCATCAAAATGGACGAGTCCTCCAATGCCAAAGGCCGTGGCTTTGCAATCGATTGCGTGTCCTTGGCTAGCTTACAACTCAATTGCCGCTTTTGAATCAGTGTGGCTGCTGGCCTTGGAGTCCTTGGAGTTAGCATTCCCCACTCAACAAAAAGAGAATTGTAGAGGCACACGAATCAGATTATTTGCAAATCCAACCCCACACATTTCCGCAAGTGGTCTTAATCTGGAAGTAAGATCTAATATGATCTAATTATCAGTCGGAAAAATAATCAGAATAGAACCAAACGTTTCCCCGTTCCATGATGTACTTCCACTGGACTCACCAAACAACCCTCACCGTCTTCGCACTTCCCCCTGCCCCGCATCGCACCGTCCGAGGCTCCGGGGTCCGAAGATTCCACGAAGCTAAGGTTCACCCGTAGCGCCACTGAGCAGCGGTCATTGCTGCTGCCTCCGGCCGCTTTGGAGCCCCTAGTAGCTTCTTGCTACTAGTAGCTACTTGCTCCTAGTAGCGATGCCAGGAGCCCCTAGTAGGGTTCTTGCTCCTAGTAGTACGGCCAAGAGCCCCTAGTAGTTTCTTGTTTCTAGTAAGAATGCTCCTAGGAGTACGGCCAGGAGCCCCTAGTAGCGTCCTTGCTCCTAGTAGCGAGGCCAGGAGCCCCTAGTAGCTTCTTAAGGAAAAAGGATCATAGCAAGAACCGGTGTTTTTGCGTCTCGAAATGAACCTTGTGGAGGTGTTCTTTGAGGTTGTCTGCTTATGGTATCTAAAACTAGAGTGCCAGGTGAACTTTGCGATGCTGCCAAAGGCTGGCTGGGATACTGAGAATGTACCAAATGGCTATATGAAAAAATTGCTATCCATCTCGGTTAGTGTTGGTCTTTGATTCACGCTTTACCAAGCCCGCCTTCGATTCGACCCAGGTTCTTCAATTTGTTCTCACCGCCCTCGGTGACACGAGCAGCGACCTCAGAGCCGGGTATCAGTTACGAGGAGGGTACATAGAAGTAACAAATCAGCGATGTGTTTCTCCTCCAAGATGGTTTACTATTGTCATGTCAAAATGAATCGCATCGATCTCTTGCTATCGTGACGATTCAATTCTGGGCCAAGTGGCATAGCCATCGTTGGGGTCGGTGACAAGTTGGCCCACCTGAGTGATCGCAAGGCGCGTCTGCAACATAGGCAGCTCGGCAGCTCCTCTCGAATTACCTTGCTATGATCCGTTGATCATTACCAAAACTTACCAAGATCTGTGGTGATATGTGTCCAAACCTCTCGTAGAGAGGTGCGCTTGCCGAGGCCACCCACTAAGCCCGGCAAATCCTCGATGATAAGCTCCCAATTCACGCCGATGCGAGAGACCTTCGCATGCGTCACCAAAAGATATGGATCAACCAACTAGTAGCGTCCTTGCTCCTAGTAGTACGGCCAGGAGACCCTACTAGCATCCTTGCTCCTAGTAGTACGGCCAGGGGCCCCTAGTAGCGTCCTTGCTCCTAGTAGTACGGCCAGGAGCCCCTAGTAGCGTCCTTGCTCCTAGTAGTACGGCC